ATAAGGGAAGGCGGTCCTGAAAGGGGCAACTTGGGTTCAAATACTGGCCATGGGAGTCGAGGTGCGGCTTGGATGCGTCTTGAGATGAACAACTCTCCAGCGACTTGCGATGTTTATGTTCTGTACAAAGCTTGGTTGCTGCAACGACCCCCCAGCAAAAAGTTGTTTTAACTTTTTTGGGGTTTAGTGGGATTGATTTCCCAAACACTTAAAGTCTGTCAAGAAAATAGGGAGCCGCAACCACAGGGACCCCAAACGAGGAAGGGCACACGATGGGAGTGCCACTATTACTCGGCTGGAGTCCCAGAAAATGAGGTTCCGCGCACAGGAAAGGCCATTGAGGTTGATCACCAGGCACCCACTATGCGTCACGGTCTAACTTTGTGGCTTTGGTTGAAATTTACGCGAAGTTCCCACATCTGCCTAGCTGTGGTTGAAATTTACGAAGTTCCCCCATCTCAAACGCATCTGCAGATTGTGCTCGAATCTATGAGAAGCAGAGCTGCAAGCAGGATGTCGTTCACCCCTCCAAAATGAAGTCTCATCTGAGCTGACATTGCAAAACCTGAAGTAAGTCTTGCCAGCATGAGTTGCAGTTTGAGAAGGCCCAACATCTATGGATCTGAAGAAACAAAACAGAAGGAACTTGAAGCTTTGTCACATTGCGTAAGATAAGCCAAACAGCCTTGATTTATTGAGAAATCACGAGCGTCAGTCTTCTCAATGAACGTCAATGAGACGCACACGTTACCCTCTTGCCGGTGTCCTGGAAATCCAACACACATTTGTTGCCAAGCTTTTGGCCCGTCTCAATTCTCAGGGCAACAGTGGTATCCGCAGACTGAGCGGCCTTGTTTCAACGAGCAGCGCAATACTTTGATCCATTAGAAGACCCACTGACCATCCCAAAGCTAACCGTCAAGACCGGTTGCATCCTTTTCGCCTGTGAACTGCTTTCAGACCCCTTGGGGCTTAAATGATCGTCCCAAAGCCTCTGCCCCCAATGGGCGTCAGACTTAAACCGCAGGAACCCCCCGGAGCCTACCATGGGATAAAACCAGCATGAAACCTTGCCAGGTACCAGTCAGGACCATGACCCTTTACACCCCTCGGAAGACAACATGACAAGTCACTAGATCTCTGCGCAACGAGGGTTTGCGAAGCCTATCGAGGCCACTTTGAGGATTGAAGTGCGATTGAGATCTCTGAAGAAAAAGTCCCCTTCCATCGCTAAACCCAAAATTTGTCCTGATGGCTCGCCGACTTTCTTTCAGCCTGGTTCCGACCGTTGCGCTTCGGAAACCTTACTCGCCAATGTCGTTTCAACCAAAGAGGTGCCTTACTCCCCCTTCGAAAAGGCACTTTCACCAAAACCCGTTGACCTTTGGCCTTGTTGGGCGGCATTTTGGCTGTCCCTGCATTTCCCCTGCAAAGCTGTAACTTGTTGTACCTTCCAATGAAACTGTCACTTTCAGTGTCCGACATCAACAATCTGGGGGTCATAGGGATCAGAGACAAAACACGTAGAAAACAAGGCAACAGTCAAATCTCTTCCTGGTGTCCTTTCACGGAAGTGAAACACAAATGGTTACCTTGAGCTTCCCCTGGGTCTGACCCTCGGCGACTCACGCCCCGGAAAGATTGGCCGCTGAGCCCTTGGCAGAAGGCGTGCGCTGAAGAAAGGTCGTGTTCTTCTCCTGCGAGGTATCTTCCACCTGCGGCGGGCTTGTCATGTGTAACATTGCACCATTTCCTGAGTGGATTGGCCAAATAAACATAAACATGTCCAGACTTTTTGGCAACCACTGGAAGGTCTTACCAAAACGTGTGAGGTCGAAAACATCGGGAAGCAAGTTTGAATCGAACAAAAATAGTTTTGAGCATGCCCTTAGACCAAGTCTGTTGATATGTTTGAAGGGGCAACCAAAAGACAACCAACCGGATGGGGCCCCAACGTTAAGTCATGTCAGACATGCCCAAAACGGGACAACAGCTGTTCGATCCTTTGCAGGAAGGGAATGTTTAGGTCAATAAAAAGGCGCGTGCAAGGCCAAACTCTGAAAACTAGAAGCTTCATAGTCCTCCCAGTAAGAGTCAATACTCACGAAATATGGGGATCCCTGGCATATGCAAAGAAAGCCGAAAGGCAGCGCTGGGCAACTTGTAGAAATTCCATGTTTAGACGAGAAAAACAACAACAAACAACAACACACATGGTATCATGGACATAGGACATGGCACGTTGATCCTTCCCCTTTCGTGGGTTCAACCTGGTTGTCAGGAATCGTTCTCGACCTCTTTTTCAAGACTCTAAAGGTGCCTCCTTGATAAGAAAAACATATCAACCCTCCTGCCTGCCTCCTACCTGCTTATGTTTCGTCTGTAACTTGACTCAACACAGGCAAACAACAAATCGAATGGCATTTCCTCACTGCCTTGGAAAGGCTACTGTAAGAAACTCACCAAAGGGTGCCCGGGGAGGGTCCCCTAGCAAGCAACT